CAAGGATATTATATACGAAGAACGCAAAAGGTCATTAAAAAGACAAAAATCCTCACAACTGCACCAATAAGCAACATCACAGTAAACAGAGAAGAGATTGAAGTAGTCAAGGATTTCATTTTACTTGGATCCATAATCAAAGAATATACTGCATTGGACAAATCTGCTGCAAAAAGTCCTCCTTAAAGTATTAAAAAGCAAAGATGTCACTTTGAGGACTAAGGTATGCCTGATCCACACCATGGTCTTTTCAACACACTCATATACATGTGAAAGCTGAACATGAATAAGTAAGACTGCAGAAGAAACATGTATTTGAATTATGGTGTTAGGGAAGAGAATTGAATATACCATAGACTGCTAGAAGAATGAAGAAATCTGTATGGAAGAAGCACAGATGGAATGCTCCTTTTAGCAACGATGGCAAGACTTCAACTCTCATACTTCACACATGTTATCAGGAGAGACCAGTCCCTAGAGGACATCATGCTTGGTAAAGTAGATAGTCACAGAAAAAGAGTACAACCCTCAACTAAATGGAATGACACAAGAGACAACAACCATGGGCTCAAGCACAGTGACAATGTGAGGATGGCGGAGGGCAGTGTTTCATCCTGTTGCACAGGAGGTTGCTATGAGCTGAAACTGACTTGACAGCACCGAACAACAAAACGTTTAACAGGATTCCCTGAGTGGCGCTAACAGTTAAGCATTTGACTACTAAACCAAAGGTTGGCAGTTTGATCCCCCCCAGTGATGTCTCAGGAGACCAGCCTCATGATCTGCTTCTGAGAGGTCACACCTTGAAAACACTAAGGAGCAGTTCTACTCTGTACACATGGAGTCCTAGGAGTTGGAAATGACTCCACGGAAACTAACAACAAGTTTTGAACAAGTAGGAACAGAGAGGGTAAGAAACAGGAAGCCACGATTGAGGGATGAGGTCTCCAGATGTCATTCTCTCACAAGGAGTACCAACAGATACCAAAAGTCCAGAGGCAGGAGGCACAGGGGGAATTCATGAAGGGGAGTAACAATTTCACTGGCAGGATTACTTCTACTAATTTACAGACAGGCAGACAAAAACGTGAAATACATGCGCCGAAACCAGTGACACAGCCTCAAACGCAAGACCAGAATCCAGATCGCCTGACTGCTACAACCCTAGGGATAACAGGGTAATCTAGGCAGGTGACCAGCACTCAGGCTTTCAGCTTTCTATGGTCTGATTCCAGGAATTTCAGTAAACCAGCACTTTGAACCAATTCATTCCAGTTCAACCTCCTGCTGAGAATTTCCATTTCCACCCCAGATACACTGAATCTGAATGCACGTGTCAACAAGATACCCATATAACTCTTATGTACACCTAAGAATAACTTGAGGAGCTATAAGAATAAGCTGGGGATCTAATTAAAATGTAGATTCTGATTCAGTGTATCTGGGGTGAAAATGCAAATTCCCAGCTGGGTGTCCAACATTCAATAATCAGTTCCAAGCCCTGACCAAAACCCACACTTCGACATTTTCGTAAAAACTGACGGCGGTTAACACCTGTAATCAGCACTGTGCCTTGCCCACCTTAGGCATTCCATAAAGAGAGACTGCTATCAATAGTACTAAAAATACAACTACAATCAATACTAGGGTTCCCTGGATGGCGCAAGCATTTAACACTTGGCTACTAGAGCTCGGCTACTAAAGCTTGGCGGTTCCAACCGACCCAGAGGCGACTCAGGAGAAAAGCCTGGCGATCTGCTTCCAAAAGGTCACAGCCTTGAAAATCTAATGGAGCGCAGTTCTACTCTGCACACATGGGCTCGCCATCAGTCCCAATCAACTCGATGGCAACCAGTCTGGTTTGGAACTTTTATTATTAATACTGGTGTCTGAATTCCCCCACCATACCCGTTACAGAAAAATCGCAGAAAGCTAGAAAGTAAGAAACGATGAGGCGAGAGTGGACTCCACGCCCGGCCGGCTCCGCGCACCTCGCACCTCCCGCTCGGGTTCCGAGTCTTCATCCGCCTCGCGCTCCCGCTTCACCCGCACCACCGGGAAGGCGGGCGCCGGTGCCTCGCGAGCACTCGCCGGCTCCGCCTCCCGCTTCACGCGCACTGGGCTGCCCCGGGAGCTCGCCGCCTCGGCCTCTCGCTCCCGCTCCCTCTTGACACGACTCGAGCTGCCCCGCGACTCGGACTCGCGTTTCCCTCGGGTAGAACCACGAGACTCCCGCTTGGACCGGCTAGACATCTCCACTACCAACCAAGCCGCCCAGATAGGCACCAGGCACACTGGAGAACGCCGTACGCAGCCAATCAGGAATGGAGCTGTTGTCGAGCCCAAGGAACTCTACGAGTCGCTTATGGGGACAAATCGCGTCGCAGGAAACTTGCGGAAAGTTGTGCGCCTGTCTTGTTTTTTTCGCCGTCGCCTGCGCTGCTGAGAACGTTTTGCGAGCCTACTGCCACCTTACCCATAATTTCCAGTTTAAAGAGGCAGAAACTTTTATTGGCTACCAACTTGCTGCATCAAAGAAGCTGTCCTACGAACCCAGCTTTTGTCAAGATACTTTGTGTTGCGAAACTATAATTAGGAGACTGGCTCCCACGATCTCCGAATCTCTAAGACTGACGCCCCGGCGCAAAACTGGATACCATCCCCTTCATGCAGCCACCTGGCGATTCTAATTCCCCAGGAATAAGCTGGTCGGGGGAGCTCTGGTAGCATAGTGCCTAAGGCACTTGACTGCTCACCAGAAGGCTGGCGGTTCAAACCCACCAGCCACTCCTCCGAACGAAGGTTGGGCAATCCTACTTCCGTAGTGATACTGCCTCGGAAACCCAAGGAGGGGTCGCTATGAGTCGGGGCCGACTCGACGGCAAACAACAACAACAAGCTGGGGTCGGGGCGGATTTACCAAGAAGCTGATAAAACTCAAGTTTCAGAGCCCATGACTCTCATGTCCCCCTCCAATGCCCTGTACCAGCATTTGTTTTAACAGCTCTGTTGAGGTGTAAAGGAACTCCGCTGGCGTAGTGCCTAAGGCATTTGACTGCTAACCAGAAGGCTGGCGTTTCAAACCCACCAGCCGCTCTGGAAGAAAGACTGGGCAATCTATTACCGTAAAGATTACCGGCTCGGAAACCCAAAGGGGGTCGCTATGAGTCGGAATCGACTGGATGGTAATGAGTTTGTTTTGTTGTAGTTGTTAGGTGCTCTCAAGTCAGCTCTGACTCATAGCGACCCGTATACAACTGAATGAAACACTGCCCCCCGCCTCGAGCCAGCCTCACAGTCCTTGCTATACTTGAGCCCATTGCTGCAACCACTGTGGCAATCCATCTTGAGGGTCTTCCCCTTCTTCGCTGATCCTCCTATTTTCAAGCATGACATCCTTCTACAGGGAATGGTCCCTTCTGACAACATGACCAAAGTAGGTGAGATGAAGTCTGGCCATTCTTGCTTCTAAGTTGCATTACAGCTGTTTTTTGTTACTGAGGTATAATCGACATACAGTAAGCTGCACATGTTTAAAGTGTACAATTTGATAAGTTCTGACAAATATGCACACCAGTAAAACCATCACAAATAAGATAATGAATGGAAAGGTGTCCGCCTGCCCCAAAGATTTGTCACTATAGCCCAATTTGCATTTTGTAAAGTTTTAAATAAATGGACTCTTACAGCATGTGCTTTTTTTTTTTTTTTTTTAATTCAGCCTAGTTTCTTTCACTCAATGAGCTGTGGTGGCATAGCGGGTAAGGCATTTGACTGCTAACCAGAAGCTCACTTCAAACCCACCAGCTGCTCCACAGGCAGGAGGTGAAGCAATCTGGTTCTGTAAAGATTGTCAGCCTCTGAAACCCAGTGGCAGTTGTTATGAATTAGAATTTACTCAATGGTGGTGGGTTTTGTTTGGTTCTTTCATTCAGCATAACTATTTTGGGATTATTCCATATTGTTGGTGTATCAACAGTTCATTCCCTTTGATTGCTTAGTAGTATTCCATAAGGAAGACCAAAAAAGAGTTGATGCATTCGAATTGTGGTGTTGGCGAAGAATATGGAAAATATCATGGACTTCCAGAAGGAACAAATCTGTCCTAGAAGAAATACAGCCAGAATGCTCCTTAGAAGTGAATGGCCAGACTTAGTCTCACCTACTTTGGTCCTGTTTTCAGAAGGGACCAGTCCCTGGAGAAGGATATCGTGCTTGGTAAAGTGGAAGTTTAGCCAAAAAGGGGAAGGCCCTGAAAAAGACGGATTGACACAGTGGCTGAAGCATAGCAAGGATTGTGAGGGTGGGCCAGGAACAGGCAGTGTTTAGTTCTATTGTACAAAGGATTGCTATGAGTCAGAGCCCACTCCCAGGCACCTAACAACAACAATATTCCATTCTGTGGATTTAACACAGTTGGTCCCTGTTATAATCATAAATTGCTAAATTTTTTTTTTTTTTTTTTTTTGTATTTCTTTTTTAGGAGAGCTCAAAAATTGTATGTCTGGCAGGCAGGTCGTCTTTGTCCAGCCCTCCCAGAATTTTGCCTCTTTCCAGCCAATGAGGCACTTGCTATCAGTGTCCTCATTTACAAGTACGGAAATCAAGGCGCAGCGAGATTAGATAGTTAGCCTAGGTCACACCGCTGGTGATGGAGGTTCACAGTATCCTATCACCAGAGAAAAGACAGGCTCCACACTGAACGTTTAGTACCATGTACTGGGTGATTTGTTTTTTTCTGAATTTTCTGATGTTTATCAACAGTAAGTGTAAGTCTTGTCTCGTGTTGATAATGTTACAAAGAAAATTAAAATATTAACCAGGTGGCGAAATCCACCCCGCCCTCCCTCCACTCCGCCCCCCAACAATTCAGCGAGCGGCAATGTTTGGCCTGCTGGCCTTCTGGGACCGGAAATGAGCACGCGGTGCCGGAAGTTGGCTCAGGAGAGGGACAGGCTTCTTCCGACGGGAGGGTGGGCGTTTGTGCCGTTTAGGAGGCGGCCGCTCGGCGGCTCAGCGTTCGGGTTTCCAGATGGAGGCGGCGCCGGATCCCGGGCCGGGGCTCTGCTGCAAACCTGGCGGGCGACTGGACATGAGCCACGGCTTCGTGCACCATATTCGACGGAACCAGCTCGCTCGGTACTGCCCCGCCCCTCGCCGCCTTCCCCCTCCAGGCCAGGCCCGGCCGCCCCTGACTCCCGCTCGGCTCCCCGCAGGGACGACTACGACAAAAAGGTCAAGCAAGCAGCCAAGGAGAAGACAAGGAGGCGGCACACCCCCGCGCCGACGCGGCCCCGCAAGCCCGATCTGCAGGTGTACCTGCCGCGACGCCGAGGTGAGGCCGCCCGCCCTGCCTGCTTTCTCCAGCACGCGCGTCCTCCGGCCCTCTGTTAACGACGCGGTTCCTTTCTCTATATGGAAAAGAAAAAAGAAAAAAAAAAAAACACT